AAACAAAACAATAAATTAATTAATTAACAAACAAAAAAAAAAGAGAGAAAAAACCCCAGATGTCTTTAATCATTGATGTTCAAACAATGACTCGAGAAAACCAAATCAAGCGTTAGCTTGAAACCTGAAGTGTTTTGCATCAGGGCAAGCAACTAAAATCAGCCTAAAACAGTTTACTTTTATACAAATGTAACAGAATGCCAGAAAACTAAATCCTTTTGATGTTTATTTGTATTAAACAATATATTTTACCCTTTGTGATGCATTCCCCATCGATCTCCTTGAAGTTTCGGTCACAAGTGCACTTGTACGAGCCCTTGGTGTTGGTGCAATACTGCGAGCAGCTTCCGAACCGCAGACACTCGTTCACCTCTGAGAAAAGAGAGGAACACGTCCATCCATCAGCCTCTCCCACACACTCTCCAGTGTCATTTTTAACAAGTGCTGCAGGGATGACACTCTGTTTGGGATTTCAGCTGAATCTCTGCTATCTGCGTTCAGCGCCTGCTGCTTTCTGGGCTTCTTGTTATTCTCAGTGAGATGACCCTGAAGCGACCGCTGACATACCTCAAACTGTTTAATGCCAGCACTGGAACTGAATACAAAGAGACTTTTGCATTGTGGGCTTTGTACAAAAGACAAGCAACCACTGGGGATGTGCTAGGGGCAAGTATTTGCATTGTGTCTTTGCGTTATATCACAAAATACCAAACCAAATGTCATTTATTTTAATGAAAAATAGTACCGGTTCATGTTTCCAGCTCAATATTTCACCAAAAGTATTCGGTTATAAATAATAAAACAATAGATATGTAAGGCTTTTACAGAATGATTTATTATATCACGAATCAGCTCTTGCTCAAAACTGAAGTGGAAACGTCCAACACTTGATAAATCTTTGAATCATGTCTGAGAACCTTGTTGACAAAAAGAAAAATTGACCCATTATAAATCACTTCAAACTTCCAAACGTTCTGCATGCTACAATATACTGCAGAATCCAAGTGAAAATCTCTTGAGCCACAGAGCTACACAGAATTCAGCTTTAAAAGACAGCTATTCATGTCGATGTACCTTGTTCCGTTTAATCTATAACAGTAATTCTCAAACCTCCCAAGAAAATACAGCATAGTACCAGGACTAAAATGTAACTACATTAACTAAAATTCTAATTTTGCACCATTAATACTAAATATTTAATATATTTATATATATTTTTTTTTTCTTTTTCTGACAGAAAGAAGAAATTGTCATCTTGGTGGTTTTTTTGTACAAATTCTGTACCTTCACATTGTTTGTTCTTCTGGTTCCTCTGAAATCCGACTTTGCATTGGCAGACTGAGGGTGTTTTTGTATGGTTGCAGAAAGCGTCGTCTCCGCACAAGTCGGCCCGTTCTCGACACGCACCAGAATCTACATAATCTGTGACCCACAGGGGACAAAATGAGACACTGTAAAGATTTTACTCCACAAAATACAGAAACGGAACATGCAAAGGATAAAGGATTACAGAAGGAAGTACACTTACATGCCTTGCAGTCGTGCTCATCCGATCCGCCGTCTTCGCAATCGTCAAAGAAGTCGCACTGCAGATCGGCCGGGATGCAGCGGTGATTGGCACAGGAGAATTCGGACTTCCCGCATGGCCTCGGCCTTTTGACCACGTCCGCTAGAGAAAAGAAAGAAAGAGGGATGGTTTAGAGAAAAAAAAGACCAAAAGAAAAGGAATTGAAGTTCCCAACTCACCACAGTCAACTTCGTCTGAATTGTCGCCACAGTCATTCACTCCGTTGCAGATTTGTTCGGTCCGCAGACATACTCTGTCATTCCTGCAGTGGAACGGTCTGTTTGGAGGACATGGCAACTTTCCTATAGGCCGAAACACACACACACACACACA